CACACGATCAGCTTGAATCTTTGGGTTTGTTGGACGACCAGGCAAGGGGAAGCTCAAGTCCGGAAGCCGGCCTATTGGCAAGGGCCAAGAGTCGCTTCGACCGTGCCTTGAGTTTAGGCTATGTGTCTGTGGCTGACAGGTTTGCCCAGGACGCCACGTTCGCAGAGAGCGTGTTGAACGAGGGGGAGAACGAGTACGATTGTGAAAGGTACGACCTCCTCAAGTCTGCACATTTGCCAAAGCCGGGTCGCACCAAAGCTCAGGTCAAGATGGGTATTTCTGAGCAATCCCAGCTGGAGCACAATGCAATGAGGCTGGTTTACTTGGATTTGGCCAGTCGCTATGATGTCCCAAAGTCTTTCAGGTACATCGACCAGCCATGGTTCTACATGTACCGAACCGAGATTTACTCCGAAGAAGAGTACATTGACTACCTCAACAGGAATCCTGGACACAATCTTTTGTTGTCTTGCACTGGTGTTGACAACATTGCTGTTCATGATGCTGAACGCCATTTGAGGTGGATTAAGGGACAAAATGAAGAGCTGTACAAGCAGAACGCAGCAGAGAAGAAGAAACAGTCTGATAGGGCCCGCGAACAAAATGAGGCCAAGCGCAAAGCTGAGCAGACTGGTGCGTATGGCCAAGGTCCCTCCAAGAAAGGCACCGCCAAACCGGTTGCCCGACCATCCACAGGCGTAGAGGTAGCTTCATCATCAACGTCTGCAAGTCAGTGGATCAACCGCCCTCAGCAAAGTCAGTCCCACGATGATCGCCGCTACACTGGAGAATGGCAGAAGTGGCACGGACGCTGGTATGAGAAAGTCATCAGGCATGGGCGTGTTGAGTGGGAAGAGGGATAAGTTGTGACACTGCTTGCATCGACGATCGGTTTTTGTATAATAGCCGCCGAGTGTGTTTTCCCTTGGGTTTGCAAAGAGCAGGTTCGGTGAGGCAGGTCTTAAAGACCTCGCCCTGGTAAATGCGGCATCCTCGCCGTAACCGGCTCACCTGAGGGGGGTGTAAAATCACCTCACCATAAAACACACATGTAAGCTAGTTGCACTACAGCATTGCGGCTCAGTTGGAAAAGGTGCTGCTGAGTCGTTAGCTTAACGGTTTTTGTCCTTGTTCTAGGTTTATCAGTCCATTTGGGATAATAGTAACATCCCTTGCTGAAACCTGAAAATACAAAACGGTCAACCATGCAAGGCAAGGAATGGAGGATTTCAAGAAAAAGGAACGAACAATGATCCAGGAGATGAAGGAGGAACGCAGCAGGCAAGAAGAGCAAGCTGCAGAACTCAACTATCAACTCCAGGAAAGGATAGATGAACCTGTGGAGAAGTTGAACAAGCAGAATGTCCCCACTCTTAGGATCGAGGAACTTGATCAAGGTGGAAATGACATCCCCGTCGAAGCGTTTGCAACACCAAAAGGCACTGCGAATGTAGATTCTGGGGCAACGCCCATGCCAAGCACAGCAATGAGTAATCTAGCTGCAGAGGCAAGGGAAAGATTGCACAGCGTGTTCTCAACTACCCCAGTAGGTTCAGCAGCTCCCCCACAACTTCCACCACTGCCAGTGCAAGGACATCAGCAGGACACCGCGCAACGCAAACCTAGTGTGCGCAGCGCGACAATTGCAGTGTGTGAAACCGACAAGCTCAAGACAGCAGATTTAGATGCTGGTCTTTCTGGACAACAGCTTTTGGATCTCATCACTAGACTGACATCACAAGATGCGGACGGTGAGAAGCCTCGCACAAAAGAGGCAGAGACAATCAAATTGAACGACATGCCCGCCCCTGAGGCTTACCGCCAGTGGCGAAATCACATCAGGGACGAGGTCAAGTCATGTTCGGACAAGCCCGATGAGGCTTGGATTTGGCTCAATGAAGTCCTAACAAGACCCCACGGGAGAAGTTGGAAGAGAAGCTGCAAGAACCATCACTCTTGACACCAAGTTGTCGGCAGCGTTAACTCGCTCAGCCAAAGGTGATCTAGCAACTAAAATTCACAAATTTAAAGATGAAAAGTCAAAGAATAGAATCCCAGTCAGAGGTAGGGGAGTCCTTTTGATGTTTGAAGATTGCTTCAGGACGTCTGGAGAAGCTGGCAGTCTCTATCATGTTGAGGACTTGTTGGGAGTTGTCAGGACGGGAGAGTCGGTGGAAGATCTTAGAAGGTTTCTGAACCGATGCGACGCCACCATAGCTGGCATGGAAACCCCACCCGATGATTTGGTTCTTAGAGATATCCTACTCAGACAAATCAGAAAATGTCAACTCATGAAGTATGACATTAAAGCATGCGACAGAGCCCTTGAAAAATCAGAGCAAAAGTCTTATGCATATTTGCTTCAGAATATCCGTGACCTGTTGGACAGAGAAAGACTCAGACCAAACAGGCATCGAATCGTGGAAAAGAACAAACAGACCGAAAAGCACCAGCCCGCTGCGTGGCAAGTGCAAATCCTCATCATCAACAAAACTGTCAAGGGAAGAGATGGCAAAGACCCCATGCACATACTCTCAACAGGGCAAATGTCGCCGCGGTGACAAGTGTTTTTACAAACATGAAAGTGCAGCTGCTCCTACAAAGGATCCAAACGAACCAACAGCCCTGCTCCAAAGAAAAAGGCCAGTGCAAAAGCTGCGCCATGCATTACCCAAAGGTATGCTTGCATTGCAACAGGGAAAGGGTTGCCAAAGGCTACAAAGGCCAAGATCAATGTCAAAGAGCTGTTGTGTTCTCATCAAAAGTGGAATACGTCAAGATCCCTGCTACCGGTGAACAGCATAAAGTTGTGCGTAGACTACCCCAAACGTATGACAAGCACTATCCTACATCGGAGTCAGTGCCAAAGCCTGACAAGTTGGTTGCCCATCGCGCGAAGGTCATTGCCCGCCAACTGCAGGAGGTCATCAAGCTTTTCAATTGCGATCCGCAGCCCAAGTGCCGCTTCAGATGCAATGATGAGGAAGGTGGTACGACACATTGATCCGTCCCAAGAAAAAAGTCAGTAACACTCATTTGCCGACAGTTGCAACACCAGCATCAAAAGATGGATGCGTTTGGTTGGTTGATACTGGTAGCGAACAGGATCTCCTCATTAGTGAAGGCATGCTCAAAACAGCAAAGGCCACAAACCGACGCACCAGTGACACTCCGATTTGTCTTGCAACTGCAAATGGTTCCATACGAGCGGACGCGGCGGCCGACGTAAAAGTCGAAGCCCTGCATAGGCCATTCACTCCATACATCCTTGAGGAAACTCCGGCAGTGCTGTCAGTTGGAGTTCGGTGTATGGAGCAGGGATATAGTTTTGTGTGACCGGCAGACGGAAAGCTGTACTTCATCCGTCCAGATCTCGGAGTCATCGAGCCGAACGTGGGTGGCAGAGTCCCATTAATTGACTCATCATGTAGGGTGCTCAACAGCAGGCAGTTCAAAAAGGACTGCAGCTTGCTGAAGATTTTCGCAATGGCATCCGCTAGGGCAGCCGAGCCTGAAGAGGAAGGTGTCGATGAAGGCATCCCTGCAGATGGCGGGGCCAAGTACATTAGGACTCGAAAGGCCACGGACTTGGAGGCAGAAGCTGGTAGTGGCCAGCATCAGCTTTGCCATTACCCCAAAAATCATCAAAAATCCGTTTTGCAAGATCTGTCAGAAGGCGTGCATGATGGCGCTGCCCGCAAATACAAAGGGGGGACCGAAACGATTGGACACAAAGAGTTTCGGGGATCACAGTGTCGCTGACCGCATGGTAGTCAAAGCTAACGTTGAAGAAGGCGTCGAAGTGAAACAGTAGCACTGGTCATGAAGGACATCCACACAAAGTTTCGACATGTTTATCCAAGTCAGACGAAGTCAGGAGATTCATGTGTAGCTGCTTTCAACCACTTTTTGTCGCACAAGGACGAGGTAGGTGCAGTCTACACTGACAACTCACGTGAGCTGATTGCTGCACTTGTGGAACTTGGTTATCGTCATCAAACATCAACGGAGTATGTAGATAGCTCAAAGTCTTTTGTTGAGCGAGAGATCCGGCACATGCTTGAGGGCACCCGGACAAATTTGGTCCAGTCGGGTCTTCCATTGTGGTATTGGCCACTTGCAATGCAACATTTTTCACTTGCAGTCAATGCCACTCTGCAGTTGAATGCTGATGATGCCCCATGGAAGCTCAGATTTGATGAGGATTTTCCAGGTCAGTTGATTCCATTTGGTGCAAAGATACTATTTTGGAACAATCCAAAGAGGGCTGACAATTCTTCTGGAAAAATGTCCCCAACTGCGAATGATTGTGTGTGTTTTTGGGATATCACATTCAACCTGGTTTTGCATGGAAGGGTGAGTATCTTGTAGCCAGACTTGAAGCTTCGGACTACCATGCTGAAAACGGCAGCACCACCATGCAACGCGCAAGACGTGTAGAGCTCATCGCAGGAGGATTCGTCGTCCCACACCGTGCACTGCAGGAGGCCAAAGAGCCCAAGCCGGATCGTCTTCAGGACGATGTCATTGCTGATCCACGTCCAATCCCATTTCAATCAGAGTTGCAAACGGATGAACAAACTGAACGAAGTGAAGAAGCAATTGACAAATCAACGGAGGCAGTACTTAACGTAGATATGTTCTTTGAGATCAAAATGACTCCAACGGGAAAACCCATGCCGGATGGCTGTCATTGGGATGGCCCTCGTCTTGTGAAGACGTACAAAGGGTCAAAGCGCCCCGATTCCATTCCATCAGATTTGTGGAGAATGCTCAGTCCAAAGGACAGAGAAAAGCTCATCGCCGAGGAAGCAAAGGCTTCAGGTAGTGGTAGCACATCATCAAGTGCCACCACAAAGGTTCGAAGAAGAAAGAATCCGCAGCAACTGTGTGAAAGCCTCGGGTAAAGCCCCTCAGGTGAGCGAGTCTCTGCAGAGTCATGTGCATGTGAAGTCATGCCAACGAACAGACCAAAATTTTGTGTCCCTGCCATGCCAAAGGTTGCACCAGCCGGTAAGACCCCGGGCAGATCGCCGTTCTAAACGCGCTGGAATCCGCCTCAAGGCTGCTGTTGGCCGCATCCTTCCCTACCTGGAGCAGCAGCCTTCTTCGGTTGACCTGGACGCCATTGTAGTTGAATGGATTGAAGCACAATGGGTCGCTGGTGAAGCCCTGACATATATCGCTGACTGTTTGTCAGGTTTGCACTTCTTCTGGCCCGAGTTGAGAGGCTTGCTTCGCCAAGCTTGGCGCATGTTCAAACAATGGAGACGTATTGAAACCCCCACGCGAGCACCTCCCATGACGGCGGTGCTGGCTCGTGCCTTTGTGGCCAGAGCCGTAGCGACTGGGAACTTGCGTTTCGCTGCCTTGATCGCCATTGGTTTTCACAGCTTGCTCCGTACCGGAGAACTATTAGCCCTCTCCTTCAAGGATTTGGAGATATCTTCCTCCTGTGGAGTGGTTTCCTTAGATCGCAGTAAAACAGGTTGGCGGACTGGCTCCAAGGAAGCGATTGCGCTGCGGGATCGGTTGACCCTACAGTTGCTGGATGTGCTATTGTCCGCGCAATCACCTCCGGGTGAAAAGGTCTGGCCGCACTCAGCTCAGAAATTTGGAGCTGATTTCCAGCGCATGTGAATAGTTTCACATTTCTTGTCTTCTGATGAAGCCTTACTGGTTACGGCGTGGTGGCGCCACCTTTTTGCTTCAGGTGGGTGTTCCACTTGAAAGCATATTGGTGAGAGGCCGCTGGCGTAGCCTTGCGGTCGCACGCCTTTATTTGGAGGATGGCTTGGCGCAGTTGCCTTCATTGCGCTTGGAAGCTAGTGCCTTGCAAATGGTGCATCGCTGGGCTTCTGAAGCACCCCCTATAGCTTTTCAGCCGTAACTCGGGGTCGTGGAAGGACCGTTGAAAAGTTTGAATGAAAGGCGGAATTTTTGAGCTCAAAGAGCGGTCCTGGCCTTACCATTGCGCTGCAGGCTGTCTTGGAGCCGTCTCCTGAGTCTCCATACCATGTGGCGTGAGTGTTTCATTCAATTCAAAGCGTGGGTTTGTCAAAGGTTTAGAAAACCTACGGTCCGGCACGAGGTCAAAACAAAGCTGCTGAATTCCAATAATACTGACAATAATAATAATAAACATAATAGTATATGATTATTATGATTATATTTATTATTACTATTAATATTGTTATTACTATTATTGTTGTTATTTTATTATATATATGTGATTTCTACATCTACCTCATATTGCACAATAAAATATTTCACCTGATGTTCACCATATTTGGACTTGTCTCAAAATAGGGTAGCCCCAAATTTCATGGTCGATCATCATTTCCACCGGATAGGATTCTGCCTTCATCAGGTCAAATCGTAGTCCTTCCTAAAGATCCAAGTGTGATTTTGCACGTGCGTGGCCATGCTGTATAGAACTTTGCCTGTTCCCCTCTGCCGGGAGGGAACGGAAGTAGAGACTCCAAGTCTCTGCGACGAGGAATACCCTCTAGTAAACATACAAAAAACCATGGAACATCATTGATGGGTAAATCAACGATGTCTATGAATAGCTATGTAACAAATTACCAGAGGGTATAGAACATCTTCCCAACTCCAAATCTTTTCGTGCACCATTTGTTTGGTTGCTTCCAAGGATGCCCACCGCGCGGATGGGCAAGGGCCGGCGGCTTTTCAACCATGGCCACGGAACAGTGGCAGGGGATCCCAGGGGACCCCGGCCAAATCTGGATGAATTCACCAGCAATGAGGAGATCAGAATCCAAGAATGGGGATATCCACGGGATAATGAACATTAATATGCATTAATTGACATAAATTATACAAGCAACAAATGCGAACAACATGGACACATCTGGATGAATTATGTTGTGACCTCAAGTCGTGACGTCACTGGAATGATGGTTTATATATTATATGGGGAATCAACCCCACATGGTTGCAAGTTTCAGCTATCCAGACCCAAATTTTGGGGTTTCGATATAAAAATTGGGGAAGGTGGTGCCCCCATTCGATAGCTAAGTTGGTGCAAATAACTCCAATAACTATGGTTTATAGGTGATATATCGAACTAGTTAATGGGCTTATAAACCATTTATAACAGGAGGGGGCACCACCTTGTAGCTATAGTATTTTTTCCCACCTGATGGTTGTGTGTTCTATCCCATTTTCCATAAAATATTTATGACATATGTCCTTCCTCTATAGTTCATTTTGGAATTGTTTATTTTGGTTTCCAATTTGTTTGGTCGTCCCATTATAGTTCATCAGATATCATCAAATATCCAATATGCACATGATTTTCTAACATTAGATTCACCAAACATGATAAAGGTCAGCCTGATTACTATTGTCTTTTTTCAATGATAAACCCTGATTTTCCCAGGTTAACCATGATTAATTATGATCTTATGACTATTGGATATGCCAATGGTTTTCCCCATGATTACCGCGATTCATCTCCTCCTAATACATTCCATACTGCCCATGACTGGGAGCTCAAATATAGATCCACTACATTCCTCCAGGGATTTATGGCTGGGGCATATTTGATATTAGGAAAGAACCAATAACCCCATCCCCAGAACATCTCCTAACATACCTTCTGCTGTCATCAAACTTACCATTTTAGATGCGATGGCAACTACTTCGATCATTTTCCCTGCTGTGTGTGAAAATGGGTTATATACCGCCGAATTGGGCAGTTTTGGTGTGGGTATAAACAAATGATGAACCAGTGAATGGAATATTCTTCTTGGGCTTTTCCCCCAAAATTTTCAGACGCAGCCATATTTCGTGCCATGATGAAAAC